TTCAGCAGGCTTTGGATATACCGTTATCAGAAAGCCTTGTGGTTATCATTGATTTTGCCATGTGTTCTCATAGGTAGAAAATGTATTTAAAGATGCTTCTCTTTAAATGTGTATCAGAATTTAGCTACTGGAATTTATTTCTTTCCTATTCAGTCATGGAAAACAATGTGGGTTTTCTTTATCAGAGCAGTATGTTATCAGGAATGGTGGATATGTGAGTTTCTAAAATGTTCTCCTTTGATAAGAATACTAATTTTTGTTTTCTGCTCTGATATTAACTATACGGCTCTGGTGCCCTCCATCAGTCTTTTCAAATCTCCTTTTTTCTGTCTGTTTGACTGTATTTCCTTTTGTACTGTTTCATTCTGTAGGATTTACTCCTTTCTTGTTTGCTTGTTCATAGTAAATAGTTCCAGTTGCATTTGTTGGGGGAGGGCAAGTATTTTTAGGTGAAGATCTGGTCCCCCAGGTCTTGAGATCACCATAATAACCTTTCACGGTGCATATTTTAGTTAAAGCCTGCATACTCAAGCAGCCCTTAGAGTGGAGTCAGACGTATATTCCAGGAAACTGAATTTGCCTCCAGTAGTCAGATGCAAAACCAGAGCAAGGCTGTTACCTTGGCATTTCCTTTGTAGGTCCCTGCACCCCTCTCATCCGGGCCAATTTAATTGAATTTTATTACGAAGAAAAATTTAGCACCTGCTAATGAGTATTAAAATGTTTTTGGTAAAACTGTATTACAGGTCTGTGATTTTAAGGGACTAGAAGTAAAATTAGATTCCAAACCTCTTTTTTGACCCATATGTTGAGATACTTGAAGTCTCAAACAACCCAAAATTCATGGAGAAGAATGTCTGAGGAAGCAATGACCACTGTAGAGGTGTGTGTGCTGACGAGTAAAATATAACTCTGGATCAGAAAACTGTGGTTAAAACAATAAACTTAGAGATCCCTGTGCCACTAATTTTTAAGGTGCTGAAGTAAGGGTGGGGTGGTTTTTTTTTTTTCTGAGCTAAGTATCTGGATTCTAACCAGATCTCCCAAAAGAGAGCGAAAAAGAGAGAAAATCTTTATGGAGTTTGCCCTGACCTATAAAAGCACTGCTCTGCAGGAGTTACAAATGGCTTTTTGGCTAAGTTCAGCAGCTGAAAGGGCCTCTACTTGTTTTGTCTCCAGCTCTGACAATAGCCATGGAGAAGAATGTCTTCTTTAAAAGTTCTGGGGATCAAGCTGAACCTTCAGCTGCTCGAGTTTCAGCTCTCCTCTTCCCTCCCAAAAAAAAAAAAAAAAAAAAAAAAAAAAAAAAAAAAAGTATGTTAAAGGGCCTAATCCTGCTTCCAGTGAAATCAATGTAACTTTGTGTCTTTTCAATATTTTTTTGGTAGGCTCCTCTTCTGGGCTGCTGGAAGTATGTTTTATGCTTTTAGGTTAAAACCAGGTTTCATATTTTACAGTACAATATAAAAACATCTAAGGAAAGGAGACAAGATTTCATTTCTGGAAAATGGTTCAGGTTTGATAATATGCAGTAGGAAGTTGGTTTGTTTTACACGGTTGCAGGCGGTGTGAACTCCCCCATTCTTGTTTGCAAGCTTCAGTACTGGGGCTATGGGCTATGGGCAGCTGTCCCCCAGCATTCAGGATCTGGCACCGCTCTGGACGTAGGTAAACGAAACTGTTATCCCAAGAAATAGCTGAGTTGTCAGCAGATCTCCTTGTTTATTTCTTTAAAAAGGAGTGCTCTGGTGCCCACAGTCTTTCTGATATTCCAGTGCTACCATACCTGCCCGGGTAGCGAGCTGGTCTCAGTCCCACCACTGGCTGAGTTCAAACACTCCCCTCCAAAACTGCCCGAGTCGTCCGGCCATTTGCTGTTTTGGTGGAGGATCTCATATTCCTCCTGTTGAAGCTGAGCAAGAAGGAAATACTAATGGCTGTTTATATGGCCAAAATGTACCTGCGTCTCAGCCTTCCCCAAAACAGCTGGTAGCCTGGAGAGCAGGATCTCTCAGACAGTGTGGGCAATAGGGGGGCCCAGGCCCCCCTTCCCTGGGACATGCTCATACGCAGTGATCTGTCCCTCCTTTTGTCCAGCCATGTTTTAGGACAAATAAGTGCCTGTGAGGGGGCTTATTCTGGACTGGAGATGTTCTGCAAAAGGGTGGGGGCCTGTCAGAGCACACTTTGTTTCTCCATCCTTGGTCCTCACAAAGAGCTGCTGAGGATGGAGGACACTGCTATACAATAAGAAGGGTTAAAAGCCCTTAATTGCAATTATCTTAAATTGCTAAGACAGAATCCTTGTGATACATTTAAAGTGCAAGTTATTTGGATAATTTCTACAGTCAGAAAAGGGAGAGAGGCACATCTGGAGAGCAGGTCCTCCAACCCAAAGATACCAAGCTTGCTCACTAGATGACTTCGTCTTTGGAAGTATCTGATTCTCTTGGTTGATAGTAGGGATCACCTACACAAGTAATGTTTTAGATTACCAGCGTGAGGTGGATTGAAATCT